AAGACAGAGGTACAGGGACTTAAGCATCTGGGGACAGGAACCATGGCATGCCCGCTTTTCCATGCTTCAGAGCAGCTGGAGGTAAAAGGGGGAGTCCTCCAGAGAACACTGCAGTCCACACTGCTGCCAGCCTGGGGCTTCACTGCCCCCGCCCCAGTCTCCCCTCTCCCTCCATAGGATGGGGGGTGTGGATCTGTCTTAGCCCTGCTCCTTCCCTGGAAGTGCTCCCTCCAGCTGTTCTAAGCGGGGGTAGGAGGACTCTGCTTTCCTCCTTAATGCCCTCAATTGCAAGACTGTCCAGAGGGTAAAATGAAAGGCCATGAGGCCCAGGAAGCCTGGGGTTCTAACCTTTGGCTGAGGGAGGAGGGGTGGCAGCAGGAGAAGACTTGGAAGCCCCAGAACCTCCTCCTCTAGAGAGTGCCAAGAGAATGGGGAGGCAGGAACTCCCCCAAACCAAAAGGAAACCACAAGGATTTAGGAACTAGGGCCACGGTGGGGATGGGCAGCCCTATGCCAAGTAACCCGGTAAGGCAAATCCCTTGCCACACAGCTGATAGCGCTGTGCGCTTCTCCCACATTCTCCTCCAGGGCAACTGTGTACAGAAGTAAAGCATTTGAAGAAACCGAAGCAGAGACCAGAACACTTAGCCAATTAGCAGCTGGACTGGAGGTGGCTTAGAGCAGTCTGAGGAGCCACGTGCTTGCAAAGAGGAGTGCTCTGGGTTCAGATCCAGCCTCCTGCATCTGCTGCTGTGTTCACTTGTCTATAAAAGGAGAGTAGCCTCAGTTTCTTGGTGGGTGTAATAGGATAATGCAGGCACAGTGCCTGGCACAAAGTAAGTGTTCAACAAATCATAGTGCTAAGCCACTTCCTAGTTCACTCTCCTTTCTACCACAGCAGGCTTTCTGCTCTGAATAAATAAATAGGTGGAGTCACTTTGAATCACTTTACCCAATAATTCACTGTGGCTTAAAATTAGGGAGATACTTCTTAGGTATACTTAAATTAGGGCTTATTTTTAAACATTTTATTCATACTTGACTCTGAAGGTATCTACCTGTATTTTGTTCCCTCCAAGAATTAAATGCCTTCTACTTCATTCAAACCTCTGCTCTGCATAAATGAAAAAATCAGAACAAACCAGGTGTCCCCATTCCCCAGTGAGTAAAACTGAGGCCCAGAAGGACAATCAGAAAAGGGGACCCATGACCCGTTTAGCAGATACATTGCATTAGTCCAGCCCTGCCCTTTGCTCCCCGAGCTGTAAGAGTAAGGGTGTCAGGCATGTGTCACCTCAGTTACCTCCCAGCCCCAGCCCCAGCCCCACCCTTAGGTTTACAAAAGCTGAGAACCAATCAAGCATGCTGGCTGGGTGGTGGAGGAGGGGAGGTTTCCGGGGCTTGTGGCTACTACACTCCACTTCCTTGTGATGATGTAAGCCCTGTCAATGCAGCAGGAGGCCACCACCAGGACTCTCAGGTCTCCACACAACCCTCAGAGCTCCTGCCAAGGCCTCAGTTTCTGCAAACTGGAAAGCATGAGATGCAGTTGGCATCAGTTGGCTCTGAATGGCTTTGGGACCCTGAAGGCACCCACATGCCCACCCCCATAGTTCAGTCTTCTTCATTCTCCCAATCCCACAATGCTCTTGATTGAAAATTTAGATAGCTATGGACCAAGATTTCAGACTAGTCTGGAACTAGGGAAATAATTGCAGCTAGAGAACCCCAATGGGAGAAGACAGGGGTCCACTCTAACACTGTCCCTTGGGTCCCCAGCTGGGGCTCCCCTCAATTCCCTTGCTACCCTGTTCAACCCTGTATTCTCAACGGATGGATGTGGGACTGGCCAAGGCACCTCCCCCTCCCCTGCAGACTAAAGGAAGGAAGTTTAGGGAAGCTAGGCAGAGATAAGCGGGAGGGGGTTAGGCAACGCAACACTAAGGGCTCCCCTCATGGTGGGGGCTCAGAGCTGGGGGCTTGAAAGGGTCTTAAATAAACTCACCATGTGACTTGGCTTCCTTCCCCAATTTCGACTTTGCCAACTTGCATCTCTTAACATTTGTCAGGCCTGTATTTCTGCAGCTGGCCCGGGGTTACAGCTCAGCCTCACCTCTCTCTAGCTGTGCTACATGTCCTCCTCCCCCACCCCCAGGTAAAGGCCAGTTCTAGCCCAGCCCAGGAAGCTGAGAGTCCTTACAGTACAAGGGGATTAATGGATAAAGGGATCAGAGGGCAGGCCTGAGGGGACAGGTCTGGGATCTCTTGGTAAAGAACTGACTAGCCCCAGTTCAGGAGCAGATGGGCCTGACTCCACCTAGCTGGGGAGGCAATGGGGTGGGGCTTTGAGGGCCTACATACACCTGGACATTTTCCCCTAATCCTGAAGCCCCAGGTCCTGCAAATTTCCTCGGGTTTTTCCGGAGCCCAGGCCTTCCCAGCAGCACTTTGCAGATGGCCAGCTTTGATCCTCATCCCAGATTAGGGCCCAAGAGGCCAGGGCCTGGAACTTCACCTAGTGGAACAGCCTGGGCCTCTCTTCCTAAGCACACACATCAGCCCAAGTCTGTCTCAATCCTGGCTCCCTGTCCCAAGAGCTGGACTCCAGGGTTCATCACAAGTTAATCTCATGGGAGTTCAGAAAGGCTTCAGTTAGGGACAAAGGACTTCCAGGAAGTCAAAAAGATACTGAACCTGGCAGGAGGTAGTAAGCCCTGGGGAAGCAGTAGGTATAGGCAATTCCAAATCCTTGGCCCTTCTCATAAGTGCTCTATTTGACTGCAGCCCCACACCCAATCCTTTAGGTGGCACGAGTGGTTTCTGGGGGCAGGAGATAGGACATCCAAAACAAGGAGAACTCCCCCTATGGCTCGTTACTGGCACCATCTGCTCCCCCTCCCAACCCAGCCTTGGCCCAGTCCTACCCTCAGTTCTCTGATTAGAAACTGGGTTCTGTCCAGGCATTGTCTGCCTTCCACGGCCGGCTGCCCATTGAGGTCTGGCGTGTGCCGGGCTGGGCGCTCAAGCTGAGCTGGAGAGCTAGAGCCGATGGCAGAGAGGAGTGGGCGGGGCCCTTACCTTCCTGCAGCCCCTGAAAGCCCCGGCCCTTTTGATGCAAGGTTCCTTCCAGATCAGCCACTCAAGGCAAGGTATGGGGACCTCACTTAGGACCATCTGACTGGGAAGATCACCCTAAAGCACTGGGTGCAGAGAGCAGGCACAATCCTTTCTCTGTGGACAGGGCCCCAGGATTATTCTGGTAATGTGAAGGGAGCACTGGCTTCTCACCCTTGACATAATGTGCTGTCCCCTAAGGCTCCCCCCCACCCCCTGGGAAGCCCCTCATCTTACCATGTCCCAGCCCAGGCTGGGGACCCTGAACAGATGTGGAGGGCCTTTGTTTGACTCTCTCCTGCAAGATGGAGTCTAAAGGAAAGCCCCCCTGGAAGGGGCACCCCAAGCTCCTTTCTTCCCAGCCCTGGTTCACACTGGATGGGGGTTGCAGCTTCATTTCCCTTTTATGGCGCTGGACTCTCCCCATCTGCAGCAGATGCCATATTTACATTTCTCACTCCCACTCCCCACCCGTGCACCTCCCTCTCTCGACCTCCAAGGGCTCCTGCTGCAATGTCAGCCCCAGCGACAGCCTGGCCCCGCCCCAGTCAGCCCACCAGGCACCTGCAGGGCTCCTCTTTGTCTCAGGCTGTTCGGAGCCAGGAAGGCTGTACTCAAGTGATGCTCTGAATGCTTCCTGGGGTACAGGGTGCAGGGCCTTAATCTCCCTCCCTCAGCCTCAGATCTGGAATCAGCCTCAATGCCTCCTCTCTAGGATGCAGAGGACTGTCCAGGTGGCTAGGGGCATCTGCCCTGGGACAGGAAGTGGGGCCTTCATCCATTATCATTTCTGGCCCTGTCTAAAAGCAACTTCCCAGGACCCCTGGAATCTGGGTCATCTCTGACCCAGGGGATCTGGAGACCTGTCTCAGGGACCCACCGTAGACCCTCCACTCCCCCTATCATACAAAGCTGTGCAAAGCCTCTCTACATCCCTGCCTTGGTGAAGTCCCAGATTGGTACTCTCCTAATACACCCTCTCAAAGAGAAAACCCCCAAATAAAAACAGGGAGAGGCAGTGTGGTGTAAAGCATCTCCACCCAGCACAAAGAACACAGATGGTTCAACTTTGCAGTATTTCCTGTCCCTGTACCTCTGTGTGCCCCTCCCGACAGAACCTACCCAGCCATGCCCTCTCTAGCCTAATTTCTGTCAGATCACTTCACATCTGAGAGCTGTCAGGAATGGAACCCCCAGAAAAATCTACCCAACCCTTCCCTGTTCAATTTCACCTGAGTGCCGGAGGATGGGCCAGTGTCACACCCTCCTGTCCTCTCAAAGGTAGCCTCTCAAATATACCTAATCCCCCCTCCTCTCACCCCATCTCCTTTTGGGGCAGGCCCTGCAGGATTCTTTCCATTGACTCTCCACGTTAGGCCAAAGCACCATTCCAGCCCTTCTGTGGTCTTAGAACCCATCTCTGCAGAACGAGCTCCGGGAGGGTGTGCTGCCTTGACTAGCCTGACCGAGCACAGAACTAGCTTACTGGGGTAGATGAGGGCGAAAAAAATTTCCGATATCCCGCTATGAGACAGCAGCCTCGTGGGGAGGCGAAGAGGAAACGCACAGACGCCCGGCCTGGGCCAGGGCTGGGTGTGAAATACCGGATTTCCTTGTTTATTCGATATTCTGATCATTAAGGGCTCCCAAGAGGGGCCCGAAATTAACCACCCAAACAAAGCCACCTTCCAGCAGTCCGCCGGGCCGCCGCTCCCCTGCGGCAGCGGGGCCAGCGCGCGGCGCCCTTCAGCCCGGCCCACGCCGGCCCCTCCTCCGGGAGTGCGGGCTCCAGCTCCAGCGATGTCCGTGCCCCCGGCTCCAAGCCCACCCGAGACAAAGCCCGAGCCCCGCCGCACACGCTCCTTTTTCCCGCTGTCGGTCCCTACCTGACCGCCACCTTGACGCAGCAGTCCCCTTGGCCAGCCATGGTCTTCTGACGCTAGGGTCTGGGCGTGGATCAAGGGCGGGGGTCCGGGGGCCACTGCCCAAGGCAGTGGCTGCGGCTGCCGGAGGCGGGAGCGCGGGCACTGCTGGCGAAGGCTGTCGCCGAGGCTGGAGGTGTCATGCTCGCGGGAGACAGGCAGAGGGGCTTACCCACTGCCGGCCCCCCGGGGTCGATCCAGCACACCTCTTGGAGCCATCGGGCGGCGGCGCGTAGCTAGCTGACAGCCGGCAGCGCGACCCACTGCTCCCCACCGCGCGACACACGCGCTCACACACCTCCCACCCCGGCCACCACCTCCCGCCGCAGCGCGAACAAAGGGGGCGGGGGCCGACCCGGCCCAGGACCCGCCCCCAAGCCCGGCAGAGCCGCGCCGGGCCCCGCCCCACCCTGCAGCCACCAATCGAAGGCCCGAAAGAGCAATAGGGGCGGGACTTGAGCCTTTAAAGGGATCTCTTGGCTCGGGTCCACCGGGTTGCTGGGGGCGGGAAGAATTGGGGGTAGTTGGGACGGCCGGGAGAAGCCAACCACGCAGAAGCCTGGATCCTCGGAGTCGCAGAACCTCAGCTTCACTGGGACCTTCCTTTCAAAAATGAGGAAACATGCAAAGAGGGGAACTACCCAAGGTCACACAGCGAGTTAGTGGCTAAGCACGGGTAAGAAACCTGGCCTTCGGGGCAGCGCGCTGCTTCAAAGCATCCCACAGTGATTAGCGGTTTACAGTTTGAAAAGGCCAGCAAAGCTTCCCTTCTGCATTTATTCCAGTAAGTTCGCCAACCTTTAGTGAAGGGGATTCTTGCTGATGTCTAAGTAAAATTCCCCCCACCTCCACCCTGCAGCATTTAAGTCCATCTTTTGATAGCTTTCTGGCCAGACTGCTAGCTCAGTCTGGGCTCTCCATACGTCTAGACCACAGTCCCATTGACCTTTATGACCCACGGATGACCCATCAGGCCCGGCTCACACTCTGTTGTGGCAGTGGGGGCAGAGGGGTCAGTGTGGGAGGCTTGAGATGCCCCAGGAAGAGGAGGGAACAAAGGGGGCACTCAACTCCAAGGGCACCTGGATGGAGAGGCTGGGTGGGGAAGTGGGTGGGAAGGGAAGGCCAATGAGTGCAGCTGCCTGCAGGAATGGATATAAAGGACAAGGGGGTGCCATGGAGACTTTAACACAGGGCAGTTATGGAGGAGGAGACCAGTGCTGTGGAGACACAATTCCCTGTCCAGTCCACCTCTCCTCCCTCTGAGACTGGACTCCTCCTTCCTGCCCTCCAACTCCAACATTGGGGCCATTCACAGAGCCCCTCACCAGCTGCCCTCCCTTCCCTCACTTCACCCAGCTCCCTCCCCTGGATAGGGCCCAAGAGGACTACCCAGCTGCAACTCCAGATGTGAGTTGAGATCTCTGGGGGAGGGGAGAAAGGGGAGTCTGACTCCAAGCCTCTTGCATCACCCTCAGATGATGAAACCATGTCAGAGATTTTGGTAAGGATATAGGTTAGGGTCGGAGAATTTATCTGTTAGTGCCATCTTCCTGTCCTGTCTCCTCCACCGTCCCCCTAACACCCCAGATAACTACTCTATCCAGGAGCCCAGATCCCTGTATGGTTTGACCTATTAAGTTCAAACCAAAAAACCAGAAAATTTCAACAGCAGATTTCAAGGTCACATCAACACCCTCTCATCAAATAGAAGGCAAATAGAAGGCTGCCATCAGCAGGAGTACCCCCAAGGTTGTGGTAGGGGGTTCCTGGTGAGATCTTGCACCCTTTACTAACATTTGAACACTCCCAGAGCCGGAAACCAGCAGAGTTGAGGAGTCAGATCCTGGGCATTCTCTCTCCATCTTCCAACCAAAATTAGCGATAGGGAGCAGCGTAACACAAACAAGGTACTTCATGGGCATGTTATTTCATCGTTATACCCCTGAGCTAGACTTTAATATTCTTTTTCAACTTTGCAGATGGGGAAACTGAGTCTCACCCAGCATATAAGCAACAGACTCAGAATTTGAATTTGTGCATATGATTCTGGACTCCCCAGATCACCTCTAAGCAAGTGCCAGGAGGATGGGAGCTGGGCTAGCCTAGGGTTTTCTTGCAGGCCCAACAGCCTCCAGGCCTAGCCCTCCCAGATGGCAATGCTGCATTTTGCAAAACTGCTCTCCCACCCACCCATCTCTAGGCTTCTTTGGGGCCCAACTCTGGTTTCCTGTCTGCAGGAGGTCGGCTGTAACTTCCGACAGTAGGTGACCCTTCTGACTCACAGTTCAACTGCTGGGAAATGCTACCAGAGCCACTGCCCACCCCCTCTGCAATCCTCCAGGCCACAATCCAGAGTGTCCAGCTAGGACAAGCAAAGAGACACATTGGCTGCAAACTCAGACCTCCTAGAATCAGGGCCTCAGGATTTTGGTTACTTTGATCACCTCAAGCAACTCCCTCCTGGGCCACCAGGGAGCAGCAGGACAGCCCAGGGTCCAGACTGACTCCTGAGCTCCGCTCCCATAGGTGAGAAGCTAACACGGGGATTTAAGGTAGAAAAGAGGCTTAAACTGCAGCTTGGGAGATTTAGGTTAGACAGGTCAGAGGAAGCCTAGGACAATCCCTGCCCTTTTCTGTCTCTGTCCAGCTTCAGCACAGCCCCTGCTTCCTCTCTGGTTTATTCCCACTCCTTCTGTCTTCTTTCAGCTACTCTTCTTTCCTTCCCTCCTCTCCAAACCCTGAAGTTTCTTAGAATCAGCTACATAAGGCACATAGCATCCCCAGTACTTTCCTCTCTGCCTGACAGAAACACACACACACACACACACACACACACACACACACTGGCCCTGAGTAGAAAATTGGACTGGAGTTTGAGTCCCAGGATTTGTCCCGAACTGAGGCCCTTCCCCCAGGCATCTTGGGGCCTCCATCATTTCTCCTGACATGAGCTGTGGGCGTCTGGGCAGATGGGAACCTGGGGGAGGTGTGGGGAGCCCTCTCCAAGTCAGGAAGCTCCCACGCTACTGTAGTTAAAATACTCCAGCAGCGACTTGGGGCAGCCATCTGGCCGAGATTTCGCTCAGGCACATCTCAGCTCTCAACAGCAACCCCAAAGGAACAAATCAAAACACCTAAGAGGTACATGTGGGCCCTAGAAATGTCTCCAAGGGTGGCCTGACCTTGAGCCATCTCCCTTTTTATTTTCTTCAGTGTTAGTACTGAGCATTGGCATTTGCAAAATCTGAGCATTGACCTCAAATTCTGGGAGCAGAAGATGGAGTTCTGGACCTCCAGTGTTAACCCCCGGCAGCTGTGCTTGATTCCATGGGAGAATGGGCCTTAACCTATCCTCCAGCAGACGTCCAGCCACAACTTCCAGTGTTCTCCCAGAGAAAGAACCCAGTTTTGCCTGCTAGCAGGAGCTCAGAACCCCAGGGAGTGTCCACAGGGCTGTAGACTAAGAATCTGAGCTCAGGCATGGGTTCAGCCTCACTTCCTCTGTTATAGGGGGAGACAGACTTAGCCACAAAGGAAGCCAGAGGTTGTTATAAAAAGCAGGGAAGGAGAGAACTGTTGTGGATTACAAACACCCCACTGGTCTTAAAAAAAAAATCTTATTTTGTTTCAAATGATAATTAGTATTTAAAGAATTCTCCATATAACCTCAAACATGAAATCTTCACCACCACCCCTTCTACTTTACAATGCTTTCTGACACAATATTGGGGCCAAAGGTAGTTGACTATGTCATCAAATCCTCAGCTTGGAAAGAACCCCCTGGGTCACTTAATGCATTCCTTTATTTTCAGATGAAGAAACAGGCCCACAGATGAAAGGGACTATCCAAAGTTGCATTGTGTAGTGAGATTTAGGTTAGACAGGTCAGAGGCTGAGCAGTAAAACTGAAAGTTTAGTCCCTATACTTCCAAAGCAGGGCCGTTTCCATGATAGCACAATAGGAACCCAACAGCCAAACATCTGAGATTGGGCTGTCAGTGAGTTTATAGTCCTGACAGAAGTTCAGTCTGAATGAAATAACAAAAGACAGCCCCTCAGCTGAACTGTGGTCTTTAAGACATAGAGATCTAGGCTCCAATCCTAGCTCTGCCACTCATTAGCTGTATAACCCTGTTCTAGTGATGTAACTGCAACAAGCATCAGCTCCTGCATCTCAAAATGTTAGAACAGTCACCTCATTGGGCTATTACAAGGTAACATGGGTCAAGCATCCAGGCTGGCAGTCAGCACAAAATAGCTACTAATTTTTTTTGCATTTCCCTTGGATTCTGTATTCCTTCTCCAATGGATTTGTCATAACAAAGTTCCGGGAGAGAGAGGGAGTCTCAGAGGTGAGTGTAGGTGAGGCTGGAGGAGGAGGAGGTTATGGCAATGAGATTTGCTTGGTTTAGGTCATGGGTGTGAGGTCCGGGAATGGCAGAGGCAGATCTGCAGGAAATTATCCATTCTCTGTCAACCACTCAGTGGTGGAGCCTAGGAAGCCAAGGGAAGTTTGCAGTCAGAAGGGAGCCTTGGCATGCGGGATCTGTGCTGTACACAGAGGGGCTGCTGATAAGGAGATCTTGCATCCATCCTATGGCCACACTGGACCATAAGTGTTGTTTAAGTTTTCTCATTAAACCTTCATAACAGTGAGGTCAACACTGTTATCATCCTCATTTTGCAGAAGAGGAAATGAGCTCAAAGGTCATTTGGCTAGTGTAGTAGTCATTAGTGCTGTTTACATATTTCCTGCTCTCTGTCTTCCTGCACTAGGTAGGACTGCAAGTCCTCAGTCTTCTTTGATGGTAACTGGTCATGTGACTTTAACCAGTGAAATGTGGGGCTTTGCCAGCTTTAATCAATGAAATGCGATACTGGTATGTGTCACCTCTAGGTAAATAAATAAATAATAAAATGTAAAAATTAAAAATCTCAGTGGCACATGCAAAATGATAACAGCTACTATTGCACCATTTCTGTGCTGGGCATTGTGCTAAATGCTTCCGATGTATACTATAAGGTAATGTGCATGGTAACCCTAAGAGGTAGGAACAATCATCATCTCCATAAAACAAACCAGGAGCTGGGTGTGGTGCCACACACCTGTAATCACTGGCTCAGGAGGCTGAGGCAGAACAATTGTGAGTTCAAAGCCAGCCTCAGCAACTTAGTGAGGCCCTAAGCAACTCAGTTAGACCGTGTCTCCAATTAAAATACAAAAAAAAAAAAAAAGTTTGGGGATGTGGCTCAGTGGTTAAGTGCCCCTGGGCTCAATCCCAGGTACCAAACAAACAAACAGATGAAAAACCAGGACAGTAAGAGTTTATAAG